CAACGAAGAAGTCGAATATCATTGAAAAAAAATGCACAATCGTCGAATATCATTCAACCGTGAATGATATTCGATCGCGAAAATTCGCTTATTGTGTCGCAAATGGCATTACTTTTTTATTTTGCTCCCCAAAAGAAGTTAAGAAGCATATGAAAAGTTATTTAAGATTATGAATATATTCAGTGGGACTCCCACTAAAAGGATGGCGGAAGAGGTTTTTACAACAATAAAGGAGGGCCAACTCACAGGGAGAGTATGGGAATGAGATATTGATCGCACTTAGCAAGAAGGAACCAGCGTGATTACGGTTTTTTCAAAATCGTGCAAATTACTTTTTTCTTTTAAAAAATACTGGATATACGTGCAGCATTAAAATTCACACAATTATTTCCCTTTAAAATTACCAACTTTTTTGTGGTATGCAAAAACCGTTTACAATTTTTTGTGATTTTTCAGATAAATATGAAAGAGTAACAATATAACAACACTGTAATTGCGCTGGTTCCTTTTTGCTAAATGCGATCCATGTAGGGTGCTATGCGGCGGCCAGGTGTTGGTGTAAGCGCTGTAAGAGAGGCTCTAATGAATGATTGCACTGTACACAGTGAATGTTGAGGCATTCTCGACAACTTTCATCAAAACTTAAGAGCAGTAAAATTACGGAAAAGTCGAAATTAACCGAATCGCAAGCTATATTTTTGTCCACGGGCGAAGCGTGAGTTATCGGCAATCGATATTTTCCCACTTAAAGCTATGGCAAAGAATTGATTATTATAATGTCTCCGTTTTCGAGTTCCTGAAAATCGATGATTTCCTTAGTTTCAAATGTCAGATCATTCGAGTCATCGCAAAACGCATCTCGCTAATGTTCTTGTTCGACACAAGCGCTGTCCGTCGAGCGCCCTATTTTGATTTTGCTTATTTGAGAGGCGTTCCACCTGGCGAGGAGCTTGCTGCACAACAGGGATCATTTTCGAGCAGGAGGAGAATTTTAACATTAAACTGCCCGAGCCAAAAGCCAACTGAGAATTTTAAATTTTAACTGCCAAACGGAACTATGTGCATTATGACGTGAGCCCTGTTATGCATACACTCTTGTGGGTCTCAGGGTTTATGCCTCAATGGACAAATCGACATTGCACGTGGTTCCGTTTGGCAGAAATACGTCCAATTAAAAACTTCGCCGGAACCAGTGGCGTGGCGTGAATTGCGATGTATCGATTGTTATGTCATTTAAACCTATGGGAAAGAATCGATAAACAGGGTGTTCGCTGCGAACACCGTGTTCATCGATTCTTTCCCATAGGTTCAAACGACGTAACAATCTATATATCGCAATGCACGCCACGCCACTGGCCGGAACCATCCTCGAATATACTATTTATCCGCAGCTCATAACCCGCAGCTCAATGAAATGAATTTTATAGAGACTTGAATTTCAATTAACGGGGCTCCTATAGGTAGTAGATAAGCAACAAATCGACAGTTATGAATATCGTAGGGAAATAAATCTGATTAAAAAATGATGAATAATTACCCTTAGACCTCGGAAATGCTCCGACGATAATTTTTTCTTCCTCTGGGTTGACCTGAGCAACATCTTTACCTTTTTCAGCAGGATCCTCCGAAGCTCCTTCCTTTTTTTTGTTTTTATTTCTTTCTACCAGAGCTTCCCATTGCTCCTCTTCTTCCAGCGAGATCTCAGCAACTTCTTTACCTTTCTTAGATCGATCCTTCGAAGATGCCTCCGCTTTTTTCTTTTTTTTTTTTTCCAACCTCTCTAACCGAGCTCGTTCCTCGTCTTCTTGCAATTTCCGTTGAAAATAATCTGGAGACACGTGAGCTTGACCTGATATTGATTCTAATCTAGAAAATTTGGCTCTTTCCTTTGGAGATTTCAGCTTCTTCGATTCCAGCTCATACGGGATATCCACAGTTAACCTTTGGAAGTCTCTCGTATACAGCCAGACCCTGGCGTGACAGAATGACTGCCTCGCTAAATTCTGGAAGTTATAATAATTTCTACCTAGTTCTGTTTGCCGAAGCAAATCCCGTATTTGCTCGGCATTCATTGTACAGTTACAACGTACTGCATTCGTTTTCTCGTCCGTTATAGTGAAAGGAAGAGCGAATGGAACACGGTTATGATCCGGCAAATACATCTCGCCAAAGTGGGCCTTGCATTTTGCTCCGCACTCTTCGCGCGTGATACGATGGCCATCTACAATAATGATAAAACAAAAATGTGTTAAACCACATCTGTAGCATTCACTGCTAAATTTGGATTTTAAAAAGAATAACAAATTCGCCATATGTTCGAGTTAGGTAACCCTTTTTGTTCGTTTCGTACTAAAATATATGTGAAATCTACGTTGAAAAAAGTTATGAAAACAAATTGACATCAAAATTGTGTTCGATTCTATAAATGCTCATATATTGATGATTACTGCAGCATAAACTGCAAACTGTGCCTGGTGAAAACTAAACATTCTTGAAAAATTGCAGTACAATTTTTAGTTTTAAAAATTTAGTTAAAATGCATGTAAACTTTTTACTCAAACTTTACGAAGATAAAGTCATGGAAATTTTTTTAAGTGCCAGGAGGAATTTTTCGCAAAAAGTACAAAAATGGTCTGCTAACTTGGTTATTAATTGTTTTTGAAAAGTTTTATCTTCAAAATTTCAGAGTTTTTTATCATTTTTTTCACAGCCAATGGTGCCAGAAAAATATTTTGCATTTATTATTACAACACAAAACAAAACTTACATCGAAATTAAATTGGATCGCATATAACAGAAGGCTACAAGCTTGATCTCATTTTGTTTTCAAAACTGTGCAGCTGCTTCGTTTTACAATATCTAAATACAGTACGATCCAGGGATAAACTGCCAGACTGCAGAGGTATATCCTGCGAGAACTTTTGACTCCTGTCTGTGCAAACCTAGCTGGCCGGCGGTGGCTGAGAAAAACTNTTAAATTTTTTCTAGGTACAAAATAAAAGCTGCGTCGTTTTACAATATCTAAATCAGTACGATCGAGGGATAAACTTCCAGACTGCAGAGGTATATCCTGCGAGAACTTTTGACTCCTGTCTGTGCAAACCTAGCTGGCCGGCGGTGGCTGAGAAAAACTTCCCGCAGACGCGGGGAACTTGAAAAAGCGTGTTACAAACTACGCAGATTGCGTACTTGGGAATGGCTTTCCGACTTTTTTGACGTTCCCAACGTGGTTTTCCTGAAATTTTGCCCATCGAGAGTATATATTTGGCTTTGGCTGTATCTCTTGCGTGCACTGATAAAGAAGTTCGAGCATAAGAACCGAATGTACGGTGTTCAATGTCGGCAGTAATGCACGGTTCATGCGACTATCCTCTCGGTTCTGGGAACCGTAGGTAATCCAGGTTCATACGGCCGTGTTTCTCCGTTGGTTCTGTTCGGTTTGAATACTCGGTTGCATGAACCGAGGATACGGTTCTCAGAACCGGGAGAGCGGTTACATGAACCGAACAACACGGCCGCTATAATTGAACACCGTAAATTCGGTTCATAAGACTGAAGTTTTTTTCTGAGTGTGCTACAGACCCATCAGGAGAGTAAGGACAAGTGGCAAGAGAAGACAAAGCGGACAAAAAGGAAAGTGGAGTGCAAGCGTTCAAACCTTTTCCTGTAAAAACTCCGAAGACAATCGGGTCCCGTGGAGTAAATGTTGGACTCTTCCCTTTGTCCAGTCGTTCGTAGCCTTCTGCTTTGCTTATTTTTTGTTTTTGTTCCGCTGTGGAAAAGGAGAGACATTTACGTGTTAAACCAAACATTTCACAAAAAAACCTAACCTAACCTAACCTAACCCAACCGAACCTAATCTAAATATTTCACAAAAAAGATGAGAGAAATGGCAGGTGAGTACTCATATTTAGGGCCATTCGGATTGCATTCAGCAGAAAGAAACCAAGCCACAACAGCTTCTGCCAAATTTAACTGCGCAATTTAATTTTTTACAAGAGAACGTTTGTCCCAATTCCTTCGGAAATTTAAAGGAACTTGCTTCGTAATATGCAGAAAGTGTACTGAAATTTGCACACAAATTGGCACAACCGTTTTCATGTAAAAAATAGTTAGTTAGTTAGTTAGTTAGTTTTAGTTAACGACGATCAGCATCTAGGCTATTTACGTCGGGGAGTGAAGCTGACTCGACAGTCGACCGCGCTCCCTTTCCTGGCTTGCACGACGCTAAAATCGCTGCAAAACTAGGACCACGCGTCGTTTCTCCTTGACGGTATCTGCCCGGTTTTTACCACAATTAAAGGGTAAATAGGTATCTTAATTGCAACGTTTCAGAAACTCGGACGATGTTTAAATGATGCAGCGATTCTGAAACGTGATACACGTAAAATTAATTCTGGTTTAATAAATAGGAAACAAAACGAACGAAAATATCGCGTCGAAATTTTTTGTGATTTTATTTTAAACCAATCCGGAAATTTCTCGGAAGCTTCTTAAAAATTGTGTGTAGCTTTTTTTTTTTTTTTAAAAAAATTATGAATAGTAAAAATGAGATTTGCAACGTTGCAATCGGAGATGAAAACAATTTTTCCGCGTGCAGGCGTCGATATTTGATTTCATTAACGGCAGGCGTGGCGAGAAAACTATTCGATCATGGGTGTAGGCTATTGCGGATAGAAGGTGGGTCACACTGCAAAGATGACTCCACCGCGTTTTCTTCCCTGGCTCGCGCAACGCTGAAGCCACTGTTAAACTAGGATTACGTGTCATCATTCTTGACTCTCTGCTCTAGTATTTGCCCGGAAAAAATGAAGTTGCTGTTTTAACAATTGTGTAGTTAAAATAAGTGTCCAAATTTTTTCAATGTAGATTTTACAATAAAGAAAATGCTATAATTTAAGCACTTCCGTGGTTAAATCAGCTTTCAAATATTGTAAGATGCACATTTGAAACATGTCGTACTTATTTAAGACGATTAAATTGTTAAATCAGCAATTAATTTTTTTCCGTGTATCACAAATAAAAGGAAAATATGTATCCTCATTGTAACGATTTAGAAACTCGGAAAATTTAGAAAACTTAGAAACTGATGAAATGATATTAAAACTTGTTTGTTACGTAAAAAGAAAATGGAATGCACGAACGTATCGCGCCGAAATTTTCGATGCTTACATTTGAGATCTTTTAGGAAAATTCGTGGGGATTTTTTAGAAAAACTTATCCATAGCTTTTCAAAAACCATGATGATTAAAATTAAAACATAACAAGTTGGTTTTTGCAATCGCTAGCGATAGCAATATTCGTCATGGGAACTTTAGCTTCTGGGATATGAAAATTTTAAGGTACAGTTCGTTTGCAGTATCTTCAGGATTGAAGGGGCTATGTAATTTTGTGTCAACATCTCTTTTTTAACATTTTTAATTTTTTTTTCTTTGCATACAAGAAAGCTGTTATTTACCAATTATTTATTTTTGTTGGATTATACATGGTTTTCGGAAGTTAACGCATTTAACTTTCAGTTTCGCTTTTTCGGCGTAAGTATGATATTTTTACTCTACACATATGCGCGAATACGCATCATAAGTGACCTATGTGCCTCCTAAGTTGCCGTTTTTTCATTCAAATAGATGTAACTGAAATGTTCGATGTGCACTATACTACTTTCATGTCATTGCTTTATTTATTTTTGAAAAAAGAAAATACCATCATTAATTTGGGCGAACAGAGAAAATATACATCAATATTTGGGTCAACATCTCCCTGATTATATAAAGGATGAATATATTAGTATTTCTGTATCAAAAAACTTAGCTTTTGTCTTCAGAATTACACTGATTCTAGTCCAAGTCAATTTGTTTTATTGAAAAGACAAAAAAAAAAAAAAAAAAAAAAAAAAAAAACAACTGAAATGTTAGACATACTATTTTCATGTCTTTCTTTTTGTATCAATAGGTACATCTTGCTTAACTTACGAACGTTGAATGCAAATAAACTTTATTGAAAAAAAGAAAATAACGTCATTAATTTGGGGAAACATGCGGCTGATTATATGAAGGAGGTATATTCCAGTATTTTTGTTTAACATATTAACTCACGAGAAAATGTTCGTACATTTATCATCTAGTATTAATTATTTTTTGATGATTGGTCTAAAACATTAAATACAACCATTAAAAATTAACTCCCATCGCCGGGTATCGAACTCCCGATCACCTATTGCCCGCACCTTAACAAAAAAATGGGACGCCTCAGTCAACTAGGCTACCACAGATCCACGGCTGGCTGAGAAAAAATAGCATTTAAAAGACTCGGACGATGGGCGGGACTTATCACAAGAGTTGTCCTTGAGCGATTCGCGTCTTCGATATGAGAGAAACGAGCTAAGCGCCTTTCTCTGTGAGACATTGTTTGCCTATGCTATCATGTGTCTCGAGGTTCATCCCAGCATGCATTCCGATCGCGGCAGTTGAGCTAAGGCAATATTTGCGTATCCATGAATTAAATCAATCAATCGGATTTTGACTTATTTGTCCGTACCGAGTCCTCCAGAGCAATTTTCCACCTTGTACGATGGTTATTATGTCTTTATTTCTATTTGTAAAATTTGAGGTGGGATAATGGCGGCTTCTCAAGAGCAACGAGGTAGGCGATCTTTTGCACCAACGAACAGAAAACTGATGGCGAAAAGTAACCAATCGGAACCTCCCAAAAAAAAGAATTTGCCTAAAATCGGAACTTCGTGGTTCTGCGCAGATTTACCAGTCAGACGCGACGTCTCAAGGAGAAAAAAAACTCGCGGAAAGCGAATTTTAGAATTCTACACAACCTGACGTAGAGACATGATTGGCTAAAAAACACAACGATTTTTGATACATCCGAAAATGAACCAAAAATCGAACACTGGGCGAAACGCTCAAGGTCGCAGAGGCATAGGGAATCCCATAGCGATAGCAACGGAACGATTGTAATATCATGGGGAACTCCGTTCCCATGACAAAACTCCGTTCCCATGACAAAAGTGGTGCGTAACGTTGCAATCAGAGGCAAATACCCTTTCATTCGCGTGAACCCGTCGGCTTCCGAATCCATTCATCTCTTAAATAACTTGAACATGGTCGTACTACAATTGTTTCACCTGTAGTTTGTTTCAGTGCTTGGCGGCCGTGTAGTGGCCACAGCACCCTAGTAGTCTTTAATATAAATTGTAAGGGTAGCATGCCATGCTGAGGGTATCAAGCTAATAATGTCCGGTCCTCCACCTTCCGGTCCCTTTTCGTTGAGCAAGCTCAATGGACCACCAGACAAAGGTACGAATTAAAGAATTCTGATACATGATTCTTAACCAAAATTTCACGTAAAACCCGATTCACACAACGAAAATTATCGAAACCAACTCCTGACAAAGATACTAAAGTTTTCATTCCACATTGGTTACGAGGAATTTGAACTACCCGCTCACATGAAACTCAAAGCTCTACGTGAGTCAAGACACAGTGAATGGTGAGTTGCTGCGAACTGTTTTTTTCTTGCATGAAATTTTTAGAAAAAATAGACCAGACTACTGAGCTGAAACTCAAAGGAATGGAAAATGTCATTCAGAATTGTATAGTGACTTTGAAAGAATCTAAGTCTATCAAAAATCAGTAATTTAATTTGCGGGGGACTGAAACTCTAAAGTTTTTGGTGCGGGGCTGCGAAACAGTTTTATTTCAATCCTGCGGGGGATTGCAAAAATTTGGTTTTATTGCCCCGCACTAATTTTTTAGTTGCATTTCCCCGCGCACAGCAAGATGCTAAGTTTCAAGGGGCAATAATCTGCGGGGCATTGCCGTGGTACCCGCCGTGCCTAATGCGCGCAACCCGCCGGCGCCGGCTTCGAGCATCGATGCCCAATGGACTCGTAGACAAGGTACGAATTAAAAGATTCTAATACGTGTTTCTTAACCAAAATTTTACGCAGAACACGATTCGTGCAACGAAAATGACTGGAACCAACTCCTAACGAAGATATTGACTATTTTATTTCACATTGGTTACAAGGAATTTGAACTGCCCGCTCATAAGAAACTCGAAGCTCTACGCGAGTCAAATCGCGCACTACAACGGTTTCAGCAATCTTCTCAATCGAGCAATGTTCATTTACCACCATGTGTTGTTCAAACTATAAGCAATTTGCTATAGCTGAGCCAAAGCGTCACGATTGGAGTTACCAGATTTTTATATCGCAGAGACTGTCATGATAAACTTTTAGCGCGCGATGTGAATCACGTAGAGCATTAATTGAGTTTTCATGAGTTGGTGGTTTAAATTCACGCATCAAGAATTATTGAATATATTCGTAAGAAGTTGATTTCGGTAATTTTCATTTTGCGCATCGTATTCGTGAAGTTTTGGTCAAGAAGCATGTATCAGAATGTTAAAATTCGTACCTTGTCTAGTGGTCCATGCTGGCGTGCCGGCCGGGCCAGCATCAAGCGCTGATGCTGAGGTTTGATGCTATGTTAGGGACCAAAATACGCTTCGCGTTTTGATGCCGGAGCCTCGGCTGTCGGTCCGATGCTACATCAATTTTCGGTCCCGCGAACCAACCTCATTACCGACGGGGCTGTCCCAGAAGACTGCCGGAGTGGTAAGTTTCTAAAAGCGCATATGTCCAAAAGCGCATATGTCCAAAAGCGCAATCCCCAAAAGCGCAAATCTCCCTTTTGAGCTTTTGGGGTGGTAGAAGTCGGGAGTCGTTTGCGCAAGTAGGTGCTCTTCAAAGCGAATCAATCAATGCTAGAAATCTGATTGCAATGTGACAACGTTGCATGGAACTCCATAATTTTTTTCTGTTCCGTCCTTAATTTGAGTATTTGCGCTTTTGGGGTGACTCTCTCAACTTCCCGTTTGCGCTTTTGGGGTTTGCGCTTTTGGGGTTTGCGCTTTTGGGGTTTGCGCTTTTGGGGTTTGCGCTTTTGGGGTTTGCGCTTTTGGACATTTGCGCTTTTGGGGTTTGCGCTTTTGGACATTTGCGCTTTTGGGTGGTGGCCGCCGGAGTAAGCGACCCTTGGACTTGGCGATGAACTCGCGGAACACCTTTTGTCTACGTTTCCCATCGGCGCGGCGGCCCACGCCTCGCCGGGAAGTTCTAAGAAGTGGACGCCGAGAGAGGGTTGAAAACACAGCTCGGTGCGATTACCCGTCCAGCAGCCCGGCCTGGGGCGCTAGCGTCCGACGTGTCTGAACGAGGCTGCTTCAATTTTGATGCTGGGTATCCAGCATCAAAATTGATGCGGCATCATGAAGCCATGCCAGGTGTCAACTTCGCAAGGTTAAGCCGCCTCGCGGGCAAATGCGATTCCTCGGCGCACTGTCCGATGCAGCATCAAGTCCCGCTTTGGATACCTGTCTTGCACGACAATTCCGCTCCGTTTATAATGCTACCTCAAACCTCAGCTCTAAATTCCTGGTTGGGCCGCAAAGCGGTATGTTACAATTTTCGGTTGCTCACCTCTGATTCCTGTTGTTGTTGAGGTCGACGAGTGTATCGGAGGTTTTCCTCCTGTTGTAATTGCTGTCTTCCCAGTTGACAATAAAGGTCTTTTTTCCGGAGAGACACTTCCCTTTCTTGGTGATTTGAGACCAGACTTTATTTCAGGTTTCGGCATTGCGTGACTTATTTCATGTTCCGTCATTGCGTGACTCCTTTGGAGTGAGACTGTCAAAAAAATAAAACAAGTATGAATTTCTACTTTGCCCTCCGAGTTTGTTGGGTTGGCTCCGCTTGGGGAGCCTCGCAGATTGCCATAGGCGGATCTAGCAAGTTGGCAACGTTGTCTTTTCTCCATTTAAACACATGGAAATGTATCGATTCTTAGAGAGGCCAGGTGCTCAGACAGAATCGATTATTTAATGTAGGTTTGAATGGAGGAAATCCGGTGTTGCCAAATTGCTGGCTACGCCTCTGCAGATTGCCAGGTTTAGTGTGGAGGAAGGATCACCGACTCCAGAGTTGCCAATTCCGAAGTCGGAAGCTTTTCCTCTCTCATGCGCTGGCGCTTTCCCATTGATGGCATAGCCACACCCGCTAAAAGACTCCGAATGCCGCTAGCGAAGCATTTGGAAGGCTTAGTCCAAATACAGCAGAATGCCTAATGGACCACTAGACAAGGTGCAAATTTAAGCAATCTAATACGCATGTTTTAACCAGAATTCACGTAGAACACGATTCGCGCAAGGAAAATTACTGAAACAAACTCCGCACGAAATACTAACGTTTTTATTTCACATTGGTTACGAGGAATTTGAACTGCCCGCTCACAAGAAACTCAAAGCTACGTGAGTCAAATCGCGCACCACATTGGTTTCAGCAAGCTTCTCAATCGAACAATTTCATTTCCCTTTCATGTGTTGTGCAAACTAGAAGCGATTTGCTATAGCTGATCCAAAGCGTCAAGATTGAGGTTGCCGGATTTTTATGTCGCAGAGACTGTCATGATAACGTTTAGCGCGCAATGTGAATAACGTAGAGCATTGAGTTTTTATGAGGGGGTGGTTCGAATTCACGGATCAAGAATCATTGAATATCTTGATAAGGTGTTGATTTCAGCAATTTTCGTTGTACACATCGTGTTCTCCGTGAAATTTTGGTTCAGAAAGATTCATCAGAAAGTTGAAATTCGTACCTTGTCTAATGGATCATTTTTGAATATGGAGTAGGTGCGGCAAAAAATGGGGGAAAAAACCCCGAAAAAAAAACACGAATGTCTAAGGTGGGAGGTCAGCGATGCAGAGTCGATTCGAGAGTTTCCGGCCTACGGGCGGGGGGGGGGGCTATGGATATTAAACTTGAAATATCTCAATTCTCAATGAAATAGGTACAGATTATTTGAAATTTTGGACCTTGACAAAGGCTTTTGATAATCTTGGCTACTCAAACGTGAGAATAAATGGGTATATTTTTATCAAATATTTCTGCCAGAGTGGTGAAAAATACCTTTCCTCAGCGATACCTAGATTATCAGGTTGGTGTCAAATGATTCAGACAGCTTTGACTGGTCTAATTGGAAAAAAATCATAATAATACGTGATATAAATTTTTAAGCGCACCGTTTAATGCATAATGCCTCAAGCGCGAGGCGCTTTTTTTTAAACAAAATGTTTGTTTGTTGTTTTTTTTTTAAACAAATTTTTTTAAAATTGAAGTACGGAGTTTTTGAAATTTTTGGCAATAATTAATTTTGGTTCACGGATTTTAATGAAAATCAATTTATGTTGAAGATTATGAAAAAATCGAGTCCTACATTCTTTTTTTCAGTATCTTGACTTTTCCAACTTCAAAAAAGAAACACGGGTTACAAATTCGTGCCATCATGCCACAGAGGAACATGCAGCTTTATCGCTTGTCACGAATTCGTAACATCATGCCACGGCGGAATGTTGCCGCTGCGATCAGAGATGCAAAATGAACCTTCACAGAGGGACTTAAAATTCATTTTGCTGAAAATTCAAATTTTTTATTTTAATGTAATGAGCAGCTGCTCGCTGAAAAATTCGCGTGAAACTCGATTTTTAAAAAATTAAAGATCACTTTGTAGCGAATTCGTAACGCTATACCGAAGAGGGATACGATTATGGAAGTTTTGATTAGTCAAATCAAATTGGGGGGGGGGGGGGGGGGAATGGGTTCTACTATCAATTTTTCTCTTAGAAAACTGAAAAATTGCTTGAATCTTTATTTTGAAAATGTGCATATTTGTCAAATTGGAGTATATCTGGGTATTTTTTTCAATTGCATCTATATGCTAAACAATGTAAACATTATTGCGGGAAAAAACCTGCAAAAATAGATGCATTTTGAGGAATGGATATTATTTGTGTCGACATTTGACAAAATGCTGTGACCTCGCTCTTGACACCCCCACCGCAGAGTGGATCGAGTCAATAGAAGAGGTTGAACGACATTTGAAAACTGAAAATGCTTGAAAATCCGTTTATACAAAACTTTGAGGTTCTAAAGTGGCTCCGTTGGTTTACCCGTGAAATATTCTTCTGGAAGCACCCCTTAAAATTTAAAATTGACAAATTAAACAACAAAATTCGCGGTTTTAGTCAAAAATTTCATGACCGGCCTCTCTGATTGACTCCATCCACTTTGCGCCGGTTGACGTCGTCCTTGATTGGAGTACATCCTTGGCCCAGCGGCGTAACTAGGAATCATTTCACCCCCAGCCCTCCTAAGGTGCTGCGCCTTTTTCCTTCTTCAATTTTTACATCCCTCGCAATGCTGCGCCCACCCACCCCCGCCGACGGGGGTGGGAAGGTTTAAAGTTACCCCACGTCATACCTCACGTCCGTCACCGTCGTGAAGGACCTGGTCACACTAAAGGTTTAGGTTTCAAGAATCTGACCTTTTCTGTGGTGCGAGGGTGTTTCTATGCTCCCTGTCGTATGCGTATAAGATGATGACGATCCCTCTCCCAGTAAAGGCTCACTTTCCCCATAGCTTTGCATTCGTTGCGTTTCTGGCTTGGACGGGTGAGATTTCGTCCAGTAATCACTGTCTACCCTGCGTGTCCTCACAGATGACACTGTAAAACAGGATACGTTAAGAACAATGTCAAAAATCACCCAAAAAGTGGTTTTAATTGTTTTATTTTTTCGAAGAAAGAGGAAAATTGACAGCCAATTATCTTCGATGTAAAGAACATGTTTGTATATATAGATAGTACATGTTTCTATATATCGACGGTGTAAGTCGGGAATCACATAACTCGTTTGCGGTGTCTGAAAATCTCCACCTCTATGTTATTTTTTTTTAAGAAGAACAAACTGACATCATTTATTACAGTTTTTGCAGAATTTTCTTCGCACAGAGAAGAGAAATCACGACAGTTTTAAAGAATGGCCGTTGAGTAAATTTTCGCTTAAAAATTTATTAAACTACGAGGGGCGTTCAATAAGTAAGTATCCCCCCTCTCTAAAATCAATAGGAATGGACCAATTTTCAAAAACTTGGGCTCAAAATCTTCCTTAGGATATACTGAGTTCAACAAAACAAACCGCAACAAAATCGGACCATGTGCGGCCGAACGCGAGCCGTTTGAACGCGCCGAGGTGCACATCGCTCCCGCCAAATCCGCGGAAATTTGAAGTCCGCGACAAGAGAAGAGCTTCTCTGCCAACGCTTCAGTCGTTCATCACTGACGAAAAATCAAAGAAGTTTTTGTAGAATAAAGGGCTTACCTCACCTCTCCACATAACCAGCTCGATCCAAGCAAGTCTGATACTGATTGTGAGACTAAGAGAACAGCTTTTGGATACCACGCGTGTAGAGGTCTTTCAACTGGCTGGGGATGAAAGTGTTGACGGCTTGTTTGACCTCTTCCGCTGATTCAAAATGAACTCCCCCCAGTTCAGATTTCAGAAAAATGAATAAATAGTGGTTTTTTTTGCCATTTATTATCGTATTTTTCGTCAGTGATGAACGACTGCAGCGTTGGCAGAGAGGCTCTTCTCTTGTCGCGGACTTCAAATTTTCGCGGATTTGGCGGGAGCAGTGTGCACCTCGGCGCGTTCAAACGGCTCGCGTTCGGCCGCACATGGTCCGATTTTGTTGCAGTTTGTTTTGTTGAACTCAGTATATCCTAAGGAAGATTTTGAGCCCAAGTTTTTGAAAATTGGTACATTCTTATTGATTTTAGAGAGGGGGGATACTTACTTATTGAACGCCC